AGGCCCCGATAGATAAGGTGTGGTATTGGACCGAACGACAGCACAGCTGCCCACCACCAAAGTTGGGTGGCCAGATTATGCAATGGAAGTCGTGGGGTTCGTGGCCAACACAACAGGCGCCGCTTGGTAGTCGATACAGGTCTTTCTGTAGATTCATCTGCAAGGTATTCAAAGGTTTATTATGGAAATGCTTACAAGTTGTTGCTTTTTTATCCTATCAAACTAACACCTGGCATGAGGGTATGGAAACCCCAACTAGGAGACTGGGTCACATAGGTCCTGTTAGGCTCCCTGGATGGGGACACCGAGATCATGGTCACTGGTGATTAGAGAAACTGAGCGACATGGCCGGGTGTCGCAAAAAGTGGCGTTCATCCATCTACTTATTATTCTTGCAACTCCAGTCTATGTGAATTCACTATCTTCCGCTCAAATTTTCTCTCAACATTCCAATCTTCACTCTACTCATTTATCCAAATAGGCGGTCAAAAGACAGCAACCGAAACCGGCGCACGGAAACCCACGGTTAATGGTCGTAAAAACTGAAAGTGATACACTTTTTATCCTATGGGGTTTGTATAACTGATGCGACACATATAGAACAGTGTTTTATCCTCTGGAAAGGATGTTCGACCCAAGACCGATTTAAAGCTCTGATGCAACAATAAAATAACTATCTGGAGTTTCAGCAAGGCCTAGATTCCCTAGCACGTGGTTGTCGATAAGGATCCTACGGGCCAAAATTTTACCACCGTAATCATAAACACGGAGAGTAATATCAGTAATACACGTGACTCAAGCTCAAGTTCAAGTTTTCACTTCGGTCAAAGCTGAAAAATTGTGATGGGCTTTAACCTCGCTGAGTTGAGTGAATAGCCTTGCCCAGGAAGACCAGATGACGATCGCTTGTTTATCAGTTTTGAACACAGCCGAAGCCTATCCGTTTCCGAGAAAAATGACCATTATGTTGTGGATGCATTTATTGTGCGAATGATTGTTAAAACGGTGAACACTGAAAAGTAACTGCTTAGGATGAACAAAAAAATGGAAAAACACTTACGCCATTGTTCTTCACCATGAATTCCAGAAATGATATCAATAATCCAGCAGATTCCCAGTCCGTGGGTAGCCGGTCTTGAATCTCAGCCAGTTTGTCACGCAGAAACACCAACACATCTGCTTTGAGAGTTCCGGTACGACTGAGTGGACCTGGGTAGAATACGTGGTCGGTACGATCCCAAGCCAGTGCGATCGCAGCACAAGCGCGCACTTCCTCTCCGTCATCATCACCCCCAGCACCGGCTTGTAGGCTGGACAGACGTCCGGGAGACTCCAGTCCAGACGCGCCACTACTAAATGCATCTCTCACTTCGTCTGGGTCGCGATTTAGACGGAGTTCGGCTAACCGAGCCAAACTGCCCATGTAGTTGCCTGATTCAGCAGCTCTTTTAGTGGCTTCAGCGACTGCATCATTGGCCAACACGGACATGTCCAACAGTTCAATTCGCGCCAGCTCACCGTCAGATGGTCGGTTGGGCAATATCTAAACATAAACAAAGAGTAAAAAAGCTCCTCAATGCCCATGTTTTCTCTCGTCTACCGTAAAACCAAACTAATCACACCTATACTAGTGATGTCTTATTTGGTTCGTCAATCCAAGTCCAAGAGGTAAAATTACCAAACAGGTGTTCATGGTTATAGGGTCATTCCTTCTGTCGTTCTTGACAGAAATTTTTGTAACAAAAAAGAACACTGCAGTAGGATGCACGAACGGAAATAAAATTGCAAGCATTCTTGGTCGTAGTTACAAAAATAAATCCTGAAGTAAATGAACAGTTATTTTTAATACATACGTTGTGATGAACTGAGGAGAATCACACGGAAGAATAGTTCAGTTATGGAAACCATTAGTTCGAGTCCAGGAGAACAAAATAAAACCCTTGCTGTGATTACGTTACACTTGTGTGGTTCACTACTCCAAGTCCCAGGACCTAGATTGTTAGTCTCCATTTTTTTATTACACACATTTGTGTGGTGAACAGCAGACAGGGCAAACCCCATAGTCACAAAGCTCTGCTGCTCCCTCATGGAAACCGGTAACCTAAGTCCCGGGACTTGGTGGTGGCGAACCACATAAGGCCCCGATAGGTCAGGCGTGGTATTGAACCGGACGACAGCAAGGCTGTCTACCACCAAAGTTGGGGGGTGGTAGCGGGGCTCGAACCTCGGACTACAGGGTCCAAAGCACGCCAGTGAAAGCGACTAAATCAATGCGCCACCACCATCACCTTGACTAAACAACAGGTCCTAGTGACTACAGGGTTGACCCCGTATACTAATGATTACACTTGAGTGCGACAAAAAATAGGTTATTTCACGATAAAACTGTTGACTGACAATGTAGTTTTTTATTCTCCATTTTAGCTGATGTACCTATATAGAAGGCCTTCTACTTGGACCTGCGTTTTCTCTGCCTCTCTCGATCATCGCTCAGTCATTCGTGTCTATCATGACCTTCAATAAAACAGGAATACTATTCAGTCCAGTGACAGTAAACTTGACTACTTACAACCACAGTAAGTAGTATTTGTACTATTACAGTATGAACTATTCAAGTAAGTGACATATTATTAGACAGTGTAAACATTGAAAATTAAGCTTGATACAACCTAACCCACTTTGACAAAATGCTAGAGAACACAGCAACCCAGGGGAAGGAAATCACACTACCTACTTGTAACAGAATACCCGGCGTGTTAAGACCACCACGAACGTGTGGAGTAGGAAACAACTTCGGAGTTTGTCTTCCAGATGGATCATAACCTGGATAGAACTGGCCACCGGTCCACATTTGAGCAGCAGCCGCAGCAGCAGCAGCTTCATAGTAATACTGATAGTAATAAGCTGCATAATCGAAATTGCCTGGAGCACCCGTAGTCGTGGTAGCCAACGCACCTGGACGAGCTGAATAGCTCAATTGCGCAGGCAAGTAGCCAGATTGCTTCATATGTGCGGAAGTGGGTTTGACAGCGCGATCAGGTTTTGCAGTCATCTTCGGTTCATCCGAAACTATTTTTGTGGACATACCAGGAGGTTGAGGTAGCTGATAACCAGGATAGAACTGACTGTAGTACTGTGACATCATTTGATACCACTGTGTGAACGGATCGACTTCTGAAATAAATAAAATACCATTTAAAATTTAGCATGTATTTTCAGTGATCCAAATCTGCTTTATCGTCATCGTACAGCAAAATATAGCATAGCGAATTTTAATAATCGTTGTCAAGCTCACGATATACACAAAATAAACGAGAAAGGAGATGGATAGGGTCTGGGCCCAATTGGAGAGAGGCAGTGAAAATGAATGTCTATGCTCAACACAGAGTGCACAACCCAACTGAGCACATATCTTTTCAAGCATTCGGAGGTGATAAGAAATGACAACAAGAACGCCACTGCTGCCGGATAGTCGCAATGTCATTCAGTGTCTCCGACCAACCAGTTACATTTTTTGACTCCAGCCTTGAAAACAGAGGACAATCAATCTAATCGCTCGGTGCATTTCTTCATGCCTCGTTTCCATATCATTCATTGACCTCCACATGGTTTCCCCAACCAGACGCATGATGGACAACCACAGTCACTACACACGCTATTGAACACAGAACTACTACTACGAATAGATGAAATGCCGTCTAAAAATTACGACACGCTATGCTCAGTGCCTCGGATCCACGCATACCACCAAATCGCTATGAAAAAAGATCGACCGTTGATTGCTTTTGAAGCCAACAGTAAGTTGACCCAGTTCTGTCGAAAACCGTTTGGAATGACTAACAGTATTGTTTGCTTCCAGCAGGCAATCCATAAATTCATTCAAGAGGAAAACCACTCGGGTATCTTTGCCTACAGTGAGAACGTCACTGTGTGCGGAATGAACAATAACGATCGCGACAAAAATCTAAATAATTTTGTCGATGCTGTAAGAAAATATGGGCTTACTCTGAAAGAAGAAAAGTGCATCATCGGTACCAAATAAGCAAAACTCCTGGGTTTAGAAATCTTACATTCATTGATGAAACCGAACCCTGAACGGTTGAAACCACTCCATAAGCTGCCTCCCAAAGACCTCACATTAGGTACCTCTATTCCCGGATGAGATACATTCCTTGGTACATAATTTTATTATTACACACCTTCGTGCGATGAACAGCAGACAGGGTGGAACCCTGGTGGAACCTGCTTTTCAATGATGGAAACCGGTAACCTGACCCCCGCGGGACTTGAAGTGGTGAACCACATAAGGCCCCGATAGGTTAGGCGTGGTATAGAACCGGACGACAGTTGCCTACCACTAAAGTACTGATATCTCCCCTGCCGAAGGATGTCCTTGAAACGTTCAAGCTACTACTACTACGGAAGTGGAAACACTACTTGCTTGGTAAGCAGAGATCAAAAATTTGTCGCTTTTATGTTCGACTCAAGAAATCACGGTGAAAATGAAAACGATTAACTTCAGAAAGGGAGGATTAAACTATCATGCTTCGGCCTTGATGTTATCTATCGTCCTAGACATGAAAATATGGCGGCTGACGCACTGCTTCGTAGCTTCCGCGTCCACATCATCCGAATCACTCAAACAACTACACCGTCTGTTGTCATCTGGGAGTCGTCTGTGCTTCATTTTATTAGAACTAAGAATCTCCTTTATTCTGTCAATGAAGTGAAATCCGTCACCACTGGTTGCTCGATCTGTGCTAGATGGAAACTGGTTTTGTAAATCTCCTACCTGAAATCTGACCAAAGTCACCGCGAAACTTGAAAGGTTGAACATTAACTTCAAATGGCTTTTTTCAGAATCAAGGAACCTATATTTGTCGATGATCGTGGATGAGTATACTAGATTCCCTTTCGCTTACGCCTGCGGTGACCTATCAGCTGCTACAGTTATGCGGTGTCTAAATGGTTTATTCATTTAGATAGGGGTTTGTCCCTTATGTCTGAGGAGCTAGAGAATCTCCTATACAATAAAGGCATTGTAGAACAGCCCACGATCCTTGCTCAAACTGGCAACCTGTGAAACTGAACGGAACTGAAAGACCATCGTTCTCGTAGAGCAACTAGGTCTGCCCTGTATAATAAGAAACCGCTCTTCCAGAAGTTCTCTGGTTCATTGGATGACTAGTATGCACAACCACAAATGCGATCTCTCACAAACAACTGTTTGCTTATCATAGTAAATCTGCATCAATAGTCTCTACATCAAAATGGTTGAGTAGTCCATGACCCGTCTCGACATTCCACACTTTGAGATTAACAAAATCTGAGCCCGATTGACGAGCCTGATTTATTCGAATGTAACCGCAAGTACACCCATATCCGTTTCCAGAATTGGCGTGAAGACACTGGCTCCTAAAGGCCAAACCACCGAGTAACTCATGGCTACACATTCAAAAGCCAACAAACCTACGATCCCGAAAGTAAATTTAAACTCCGACTTCTTACAGAGTACCAACTCCGATGGGCCAAAAACCGCAAACATTCCTTGACACCTCATTCAAAACTCATTCACACAACAGCGAACCCGATCTACATCCATTAGTTAAAGCGCAGCAACGCAGCAATTACTTCTATATTTTGAGTATTCGGGAAGATTGAAAATCTTCAACATACAAAGATAACACCCATCAGGGCAATTCGCGGGGTTGAATGCCATTGCATATGCATTGCGAGTTTGGCAGCGATCAGTGAAGTTTGCTTTTCTGTATTTCGCTGCACGGTGATGAGTGCCGTATCAAACTCTTCTTTATTATTAATATATTACTTTGTACCCATCCCTCTTAATTTTTCTGTTCAGCTCCTGCCGTCCAGTTATACGTTGAACGAAGCCTAGATAGTGAGCCTTTGTCTTCGCTCTGTTCAACGGCTCCTGCAATCGTTTCAAATACCAAATTGCATATCGGGAAGCCTATCAGGCGATATGCGCAACACATCTTAGACCCATATCTCTCTGACGTGAAACATTCGTATTTATCAGTAACCGTGATTAGATGATACTATTTTAGAGATGTGGGATGCCCTACTGCTTACGGAAGGGGCTCTTTCTCTGAGACCCCGTGACTCTTGGTAACCAGGCAGGTATCAGGTGTCACGACCAGTAAATAAAGGAAAAGTAATTTGTTCCTTCAAAAGCATCGAAATTATAACCTGACAACGCTTGAGTGTCTGAAAGCAAAAAGCTTAGCGAGCGAGTGTCGGCAGTGGTACTGACGCAAACACAGGTTGGAAGCCATGGACTTTCTTCAACGAATTCCTACTCAAAGCATTCCCCGATTAATTTAAACCATTCTAGACCGTGAACACTTCGATTTCCTAACTTTACTTCATTTTACCTTAGACCCTCTTGCATGTATTTATTTCTATCGGGGCCTGCAGACGATCCTATTGACAAAAGTGCTTACAATCAAAATCCTGTCCTTGTTCTCTTGTGCCCTCTTGATTAGAGTCAAAGACTCCTCTTCTTCATCCTCGATGCACTTTTAAACTAACCGCAGTCTACATGCGCACTTCGATGCGTATGGGAAAGAGACATGTTTACCCCCATACCTTCACTAATCACTGGCTTCACGTGGCGGTGTTTTCCCACAAAGGTGAGAGGACGAAAAACAAATATCCGGTGCTATAAACGGGTCGATTGACAGTTCACCTAGGGGAGTTGGCTAAAAACTCTGATATGACGATAAACTGCTAACATACTTTTCAGGTTTGTCAAACACGCATGTATGAAATGAAGAGACTGAGTAAGTCATTGAATCATGAACTGTTGAACTTATCATTCCCTGGAAACCCTAAAAACCATGACTCCGAACCAAACAAGAGGCGTACGAAACACACTCATTCACATCTTGGTTGTAGCTGTGATCGCAGGGGTGATTTGCGCATTGAGGTATATTGGACACCTCGGACGTTTGACCCCTTCCAAAGCGCGTATGATCCGCTGAATTGAATACCGGCCCTTTAACGGACTGTTGTTTTCATACACCCCACCGCTACCTAGTGGGTCAGGCTTTGGTTAGTCGGGCTTCAGCTGTAATTTTCTCAAGAAAATTCACCCGTCTCAGCCGGGCAACCTGGCAATATTCCGCCCACAAACAAGTCATAGAACTCTTTTTTATAAAGATTATTGTGCTATGATTTATTTGACACGGTCGGAAATTAGAAGCGTGTGAAATACAACGAGCTCGTACCCCCGAGACCCTAGCCATCGGCGTGTTATGTTCAAAAGACACGAATTCAAAACTCCAGCTCCATTATCTCATACTGCGAAGTTTTAATCACGTATTTCTGTGAACCCTGAGGCTGCAACTGTTGGACTGTTGGACTCTCAACGAGTGCTGAAGCTACGCTCTTAGATTTGATCCCAGTCGACAGTCGGTTGTGCGCAATGAAACTCAGCGCCGTCTTCGCTTCGAAAGACGCAACCCGTTTGCTGTTTCGGCGTGCGCACAAAGGACTGTAGCCCAGATACGACCAATGATATATTCTACCAAAAACTGCACGACCTCTTGCAAAAAGCAAGTTAGACTGGTACTGTGAGCTTAGCAGAAGATAAGAAGGCTAGCAAAGGTAGGCTGTTTTCGATCGGGGTGTCATCGAGGCTTTTGAAGCTAAATTCTTAGTGCTCGGTAAAAGGGGGAACGGCTGCGGGCGTGTTCTGGCCACCGCCCAGTGCTCGCCAGTATGGACTTCAGACGATTTAACTGCCCGGTACATCAGTTGGCGTTCGCACCCTTCGAGCCAGCGACGAATGTAGACCGATGACTTTGCTATAGGCCACAAACGGCGGGGTGTGTATAAGACTGCCGACTGGAGTGAAACACCTCTCGAATCCGACCACGCATTAGTTTGGTGAGTATCCGAAGCGCACCGCAAAGCGACGATAAAGCTGTGATAAGTTGTCTAATTTAGCGTGCCTAACCGTCTTTCACAGCGCACCGGCTGAAAGGCCGGAACCAACCCCGCCTGATAACAATAATCAGCACTGGTCGCTTATCAAGAATGTTACGCATCCTGCTGGTTTAGTAAATTGTGATTTGACACGTCTTATCGTGACAACCAGGACCTCAGCTGAGTCACTACGGTCTCCTGGAGCACGCCGGTCAATTTTGACCGGCAGCGAGCATAAAGAAACATGACTTGTTACGAGGTGTGAACTCAAAGCATCCGAGTTGAAACTCGCTGTCATGGGACTTTCCCGTAAACTGTCCCATCTCATCCGACTTACCTGTAGAAAAGCTTTGGGTGTGAGTGAAATGATCATGGAGCTGATTGTTAGCCTATTCATAATCAACAGCGACGTCTTGCACGTCGGGTGGAGCACTTCGAGGTGCAGCATACCTGGTGACCAGCGTCGGCTTCTCCCATTGCTGCACCGGCACACGACGGTCAGACCGTGACATGATTTGACGATATGATCATGAACACCACTCCGGTGCCTTTATCTGGCTTGAGTAGTACGATATCTTTGTTCTTCTTGAGTTCCCTCAAAGCGCTTATACACTGAAGTGGGTTCGGTTGTTTGAACCTTTCGGTACTTATAGCAGCTTGTTACCAGTAAACTAATAAACCCTTCTAAATCGTCGCCTGAACTAGGTATCAGATCTTTCCTCTGGCCCACCAGACTTTCGATTCGGTTATCTCTCTTCGAGGGGCAGCAAAGCTTCCATCCCAGAGATAAGACATCCATGTCTATAGAAGACAGCTGCCTATCAGACAAATTATACACAAATCTTTCTAACTTATTGGGAAAAGTTGACAGCTGTGCATCCCTATGCGAAGCTCGTAATAAATGTTCTCGAATGATCTGAACGCGACGCGTGCATATCCGAATTAAGAATTTTTAATCCAATGCAAGGCATATACTCCCGCTCTTGAACGCAAGGGTTACGTTTGCAGTGGGAATTCGCTTTTTATCACAGACTTTTAGTGTGATGAACAGACGGGGTAAACCGCATAGGCACGAGGACCTGCTGTAAATTGACGGAAACCGGTAAACTAAGCCTCGGGACTTGGAGTGGTAAACCACAACGGCCCCGATAGATTAGGCATGGCATTGAACCGGGCGGCAGCAAAAGCTACCGATCAGGAGAAGCGAGGCCTCCCGTATAATCGATGATTCGACACCAACCACCTTTGTGCAATCACTGGCGAACCGCCGGGATGTTACTTTTTGTCCCTTTATTATGAGGGCCATGCTTTCCGTCAGCAATAACTCGCATCGGCGATTAACTCCACTTACTCCGTGATTACAAATAATATCAGACAGCAAACCATTCATATTAGGCAATTATTTCCGAATTTCTCATTTCAAGCTTAATCTTTTCTATTTTCGTCCTAGAAAACTGGCCTGGCCTGAAATGGTAGAGCGCAATATTCTTCTGTTCCCAGAGTTATCTCGTTTGCGAACCTCAAGTTTTCGCATTAGGGATAAATAAACAAATTTTAAGATAAACATTCCACAAAACTACTATTCAAACAACAACTAGGGCACACACTCAATAAACAATAGTATATGTTCATCATGAAATAAAATAAGTAAACTGACTTACGATCAGTCGATGTGGCTGCTACCGCTGAAGTTTCTGAAGCTTTAGTTGTCTCCATGGTTGATGGATTGTTTGAGCGCCTTTGTTGCTTTTTAGCTGCAATTTTAGACCGATCGTGGACCGTGGACCGAACAGCTGTCTTCAAGCTTCCCCTCGGAGCCAATGAACCACCAGCTTTTGGAGATCCACCTGTGCGGTTCACTGAAGATTTTGATAGATCCTCTTGTTTTATAGGTTCCTTCTGGTTCATCGGGGATTCAGAAACCCCTACAGTTGTAGCCGACGTATTACCTGGATCTTCAACATTGCATTGATCCAAACTACTGGCAATAGCATTACTGGCCATACGCTGCTCATTCACATTTGTAGGAGGTTCTGAATAATAGGCAGATGAGACACCGGGATGAAAAGAACTATCCGCTTGAGGGTCTACTGGAGTGTAATCAGCGTATTGTTGAACGTGGTGAGAACGATCCAGGTTAGCCTGGTTAAATTGATCTGCTGGGTGATTGGCATAGTCGTAACTGTTATGATACCTAAAAATATAAGGCTAAAGAACGTTTCCGGCTTACTCGTAAGGGTTCTGGAATGACATCATCAAAATTGGAAACTAAAACATCAGCACGAATTATGACGTCGGGCCCAGTCAAAGGTCGCGCCAAACCATTGTCAGTTCCATTGACTCAACCAAATTCAGTTCGTCTTAGTTTGCAAAGGTCAGGAGTTGGCCTTTGTCAACCGAGCGTCCACCGTTCACCCAGTTGTAAGCCCAAGTGTCTTCCTTTATCAATGAGAGTGTTCCATATTGGAGTTTCGTCACGATTTCCGCTCTTCAGTTCACGGGGATTCACGGGGATTGACGGGCTTGGGAACCGAAGTTTTCGAGTAGCC